AAATCTATTGCCCTTGGGAACAGTAAAGCTGATGTTATAGAACCCTAGGCAGGACGATTGCTTGAATACGATGTTAAAATCCCTTGAGATCCAATGAAGTGTGCTGCTTAAGACCAGTTTAGAAGCAATGGCTGCAGCAGCTCTTACTTTTGGAAATGCTGCTTTGAGAAAGAATAACTGTAATTGAGTGATATTCTCTATCCAAAGCTCCAAAAACCTTTATGAAACAGCCTGTAAAGGTGGAGGAAGTCTTATTTAAGGAAATTATTCTGCAGCTGGCAGAGAGCAGCTCCAGCAAATGAACACGTACAACAGAATGGAAACAAGCCGGCAGCACTGCAGCAATTGATTGTGGCATTTGGGAATAATCAAATTTCCTATCCATGACGATACATTTTACTATTACTAGGCAGCAGGAAACCACAAGAGAAAGGCTTAAATGTGGTTACCATAAATATTTTAGCCACTTACTGCCTTGATAAGGGCGGGTTTGTTTTCACTCTTGCGCTAGTTAAAAAGGAGGCATTTAAGCTTAGCGTGGCTTGTTCCTTAGGTAATCATGAAAAGCTGCACGGGCATAGACTACAAAGAGTTCTACAACTTCCTGAAGGTGATTGCAGAGAACAGGATTTCAGCCTTGAAAAGTGTCATGGATGACGAAGCTTTAGCAAAGAACAGCCCCAAAGCTGCCATCTCCACTCTAGGAATGCTGCACTCAGTGTTTGACTTAAAGAGGACTGTGGAAGTGCTAACTTCTTTGAGCGCTAATGAGGATTTCAAGAAACTGGACCTCAAGTCTCTTTCCCCACCTCCGGAGGCATTACTTCACCACTTGAAAGCAGCCATAGACACCGCCCTGTTATAGTTTCCTATTTTATTCAGCTATTTGTAAAATGCACCTGTTGCAACAGAGGCACGCAGGGGAAGTAGGAAATACCTGTATTTACAGCTATTACAGTTTAAGCACAATAAGCCTTAATGGATATTAGGGAAAGGGAGTATATTAGGATACAAGGCACACTATACGTACTCCCAGGAAGGTAAGGAAGTCCATAGGATCAGACTCCGTTAACGCAGGATAGAAGTGGCTCAACTGAACATTCAAGGACAAATGGTTGCCTTCCTGCTTTGTATTCCTAGCTTAGGGTCACGGGTCCTTAAAATTTGCCATCTACACTGTTCATCCATTTGAGTCATGCACACATGAAGATATACTCTCTAACTTGTCCACACCATTCAAAGCATGCATGTTTTAGCCAGTGAAGGTTGCTTCTCTGGGCTTTAATCAACTAAAAAGCAGCGAGTTTAAAAAAAAAAGCGGGGGGGGTTTAGAAAACTAAGCAAAGACAGTTCATCATGGCTGGCTGTATGCAGCCTTAGCTTATTTTCTAGTGGAGGAGGAATGGTTTTAAACAAGCTGATAGGAAATTCTGCATGATTTCAGAGCACAAACCACGAATTTGGTGCTACCACATTAAAATGTCTGCATGGCACTGAGAACAAGCATTTTCAATAAAACTGAAAAGCATCCTTATTGCTGTTAGCAGTTTGCACCTAAAGAGTTGGTGTGAAAATCTAGTTGCAACCAGTGTTTCTGTGAACATACTCCAGTCTTAGGGATTAGTTTTTAAATTATTGATCAAAACTTCCTCAGTCTTTGCCATAGGTGGCCACTGATGCTGCTATGTTTCTAAAACTGCACATTAAAATATTTAAATACCTTGGCTAAAATCTCATTCTTTTAAGAACCTTCCTTCAAATCTGAATTGTATACGTGGTTTAATCAGTATCTTGCAGTTGAAGTTGTACACGTAATAGAAAACAAACCTACCCCCAGTATTATTGTCTTCAGTGAAAAGCACTGGGAAAGCAGCATAGAGAGATCATATTAAGTTTGCGTTAATTATAAAAGATGACTAAATTGCTAGCTGACTTAAGAGAGTATTCTGGCTGGCTGTTTCTTTGGACTGGATAATGGTCAGGTTTTGAGCACTCAGGACATTAAAGTTCATAACTATTATTCAACTAATTTTACTTTCCCCATAAAGCAAAAACTTACTATGCCCATCCTTACCCACCCTAGCAGTGGTATGAGAGTTCACCTGGTCTAAAAGGAGTCTGTCCCAGCGGTGGGATTCCCTGGATTTCAGTGCAGTTCCTCTTGACAAAACAATGGGATGAAAACAGATGCTGGCCCATTCAACACAGTCTCTCAACATGCCAGAAGTGCTTTACATACCAAGTACTTGAGCTCAGAAACCAAGGCATATATTTGCCTTTGGTTATAGGGTCCAGTCTTCAAACAGTTCAGCAAAGTGCACAGCAGTAGGAGACCCTAACAGTACGTTAAACAGGGTGACTCAACCCAACAGCGTTCTTTTGCTAGGGGTAGACACGTGTTTGAAATCAGACCACAGCATGGTCTTCCTTAACTTCCTTGCAAGAATGAAAGCATACATTCCAAGTAGGTGTTGAAAACAAGGAAATGTAGAACTAGAGATATCCTGGGGATTGTTATTGACAGCATTTTACATGATTTGCCAACTGAATATACTGGAGTGTTTCAATTATCACAGCCTTGGACCCACCGTCAGAGACATGTTCAGCTCCTTGTCAGGTACAGGATTCAAACCTACCTCTCCAGCAGACACTGCAGTTTGAACACAGCACTTTGACGACTTGTACATCCTCCCAGGCAGCTGTGCTGTCTGCCTCTTGCATCTCTACTCTGCAGTTGACAGCATGAAGGATCCACAGATGAAAAGCCTCTGTTGTCTTGCACTGCAACTGTTTTTTTTGTTGTTTTTTTTTTTTTTTGGGGGGGGGGGGGGGGTTCCAGGTGAAAAACGCGTTAATTAATCAGCTATGGGCAGCCTGTGTGTGTGGCATGTGACCAACTGGGGAGGGGACAGGCAGCACAGTGCCAGATAGGATAGGGAGCAGAAAGAGCAGGCAGGGAGCACAGAGCTGGGAGCAGAAAGCAGAGCAAATTGGGCGTGAGGAGTTCAGAATGGCACTTGAAGGGCATGGGGTTAATTTCTGGCACACCTGCCAAAAGGCTTAGCCTCCGTTGATATGAAGAGTTGCCAGACTGAAGTCAATGAGCATGGGAAAATTTAAGATCTAGCTTAAAAAATGTTTGCAAGCAAATTCTATAGGCACATTAATTAGTGTGCATAGTAAAAGCTTGGCAACCTTAGGCTCAGGCCCTTTATTACTCATCGCAATCAGTGAAGTTTGTGGTTCAGCACCTTGAATTGGGCCCAGATCTGCCTTTTGTGTTCATCCTTCAATAACCTTTCGGGTTCTTGCTTCAAAGCCTGGTGTTTCCAAGTCAGACCAGCGTATCCAATCGTGCTGTGTCAGCGATAGGTCAGCAGAATACAGGAATAGGTTGTCCTTTGCAATTGGCTCAAACACATCTACTTTATTCCTAAATAGCCAGTCTGCCATAGGCATATTATCAGACTGTTCCAGTGCCGTAATGTCAATCACGTAACCATGCACCGTGGCTGTTTAAATATATCAGCATGAGCATCTCTCACTAGAAGTTTTTCAGTTCAGCCACATGAGCCTCTACAGCACTTCTGCTACAAACCAGTCCCTTCTACAGACTGGTCCCTTCTGAATTTCAGGCATTATAAGGTGATGCCCTAGCAGTCCTGGGTTTGCCCCTCTCCCCCAGTGCCAGTGACCCATGGAGGGATGTTCTGCAACTTGATGTCAAGAGACCAGGTTACAGGTGCCTTTAAGAAAATGGGATAATCATTCTCAAATTAAATTGAGGGATTAAATGACACTGATTTGCTCTCATCTCATAACAGTTCAGCTTTGCTCTTCACATCTACAAACACGGGCAGCAGTTCAAGCATGTACAGCAAGAACCCAGCACTTTGAATTGGTCACAATATTACAGCTAATGTTTTACATGGCCAGTTAGTCAACCATGTTTGTGGTCTATCACCAAATTAAAGAGAGGCTTTTTCTTCAGCTTTCCCCAGCAAACATAGGTCTGATACTCATACCACATCAAGCATCATAAGAAGTGTTAGGGTAACCAATACAAGACAGAGGAACATGCTGGTTTAATGACAGTGGCAATAAACTTGTTGTTGGATCAGTTTGTTGAGCAGCAGTGCAGGATTCGGGGTTTGCTTTTGTATTGTATTGGAAGAATCCTTAATGTGGAGACTACATTCTCCATTATCATGCTTGATGACTGCCCACCATAGGCACTCTCAGGCTTTTCTGAAAAATAGTCTAGGATTAGGTTCAGAAACATCACAGCAGAGCAGAAAGGGGAAGGCAGAGAAATCCATTAAATAATTTCCAAACTCTCTCTCTCCCTCTTTAAAAATAGAAATAGGGTTTATTTACATACAAATATAAAACACACATTAAGAAGAGTCCCGAGTCAATCTGATATAAAACAGTTTCAACTCATGTAACAGCACACAAAGCTTGCAGTAGTCATGAGGTGACAGTCTCTAGCATCGTTATAAAAATATGGGACAATTTCACGTCAGACTTAAAAAAAAAATCAGGTTCAAATCCAGTTAAATAGAGCTTTTGCTCTGATATCCAACTTGGACAGATTCCTATTTAGTGTATTTTGGTTTCAGTGCAATATTCTATATACACAGGTTGCCTTTAAAAAAAAAAAAGGCACTATAGAAGCAAGTCATGCTCTGTCCTGATATCATCCCAGAAAGCTCCATTTCAAAGGGAGGATGCATCAGCATGAAATTGTATTCCCAGAAGATCAGGGTGTTTCCACCAGACAGTAAGTGCAGGAGGTGATGCATTTAAAATGGGTTTGGTTGGTTCCTTTACAGACCTGCAGAGATCTTTTGCTGCAGGATATTCTGTCTCCTTTGTATTATCTATACATCTAGAGAGCTGAGCAATGCCTGTTTATATAAGGCACAGAAGAGTTTAGACGGGGACATCCCTGAAGTTAAGT